ACGTAAACCGCGACCCGCCCCACGGCGCTCCCGCGCCGCGCCAGCGGCGCACGCGCGCGCAAATACACCACGCAAAAACACCACGTAAACCGCGACCCGCCCCACGGCGCCCCGACGCCGCTCCAGCGACGCACGCAAACACCACGCGAAGACACCACGTAAACCGCGACCCGCCCCACGGCGCTCCCGCGCCGCGCCAGCGGCGCACGCACACGCAAATACACCACGCAAATACACCACGTAAACCGCGACCCGCCCCACGGCGCTCCCGCGCCGCGCCAGCGGCGCACGCGCACGCAAATACACCACGCAAATACACCACGTAAACCGCGACCCGCCCCACGGCGCTCCCGCGCCGCGCCAGCGGCGCACGCACGCGCAAATACACCACGCAAATACACCACGTAAACCGCGACCCGCCCCACGGCGCTCCCGCGCCGCGCCAGCGGCGCACGCGCACGCAAATACACCACGCAAATACACCACGTAAAAACACCACGCAAATACACCACGCAAATACACCACGCAAAAACACCACGGCTATTTCACCGTTAAGAAATTCTATTTCACCATTAAGAAATTCTATTTCACCATTAAGAAATTCTTTTTCACCATTAAGAAATTCTATTTCACCATTAAGATTTCTATTTCACCATTAAAACTCTTATTTCACCATTAGGAGAAACCGTCCACACACACACTCTTTTGCGTAGAGCGGTCACTGTCTACAGACGCAGGCAACTACAGTCGCGGGAATCGAATGCTAAGCCTCTCATTTCATGGACGATGTGATTGAATCGCCCCACGCACACAATCACACGCATGCGCACACACAGACACAGACACAGACACAGACACAGACACAGACACAGACACACACACACACACACACACACGCACACAAACAAACACGCGCACACACACACACGCACACATACACACACACACACACACACACGCACACACACACACGCACACACGCACACACACACGCACACACGTAAACTCGCAGGCGTTGGCACGCGCGCGCACGCAGGCGCACAAGCGAGAAACGTGGGGCTCCACTGGCTCCGCATCGAGCCGCATCGACGACGCATCGCCGATGCGGCGCGACCCTCCGACCCCGCCTGCTCGAACCACTCGGGGCGCCTCTAGAGGCACGCAGCGAAGGCAGGGGACGGGGAGGCAGCCCGGCCACCCGCCGCAGCCCGGAGGCGCAGCACACCTCCTGCAGGAGCTCGGGCCGGCTGGGGCGGCGCGCGAGAGATACCGTTCGAGACGCCTGCGCCTGCCGGGCTCCTCGGGCGCGGGGTCGCCGCGCATCGACACGATCGAAAGTCATCGGGCGCGAGCGAGGGGGGGAGATGAGAAGGAGAAGGCCTTCTCAGAAGGCGGCGGGACTTCTCAGAAGCCCTCGCGCCTTCTGAGAAGTTGTTTCGTGCCTTCGGGGAAGGCATGGAAAACTGCTCAGAAGACCGGGGGATTTGGGAGCCTTCTCCTTCTCCCTTCCCCACCGGGCTGGCCGCCAAAGGAAGTATGGAAATCGTGGGGACGAAGACCGGCCGCACTTCCGGCCCACTCTGCACAGAGAGCTCTCTGTCGGTGCTACCGCGGACGCTGGCTCATTGGAATCAGTACGCCGCCTCCCCGACAGCGGCCGCTGTCGGTTTTGGACCACATGTGCTGTCGAGCCTCGTACCCTTAGGTCGGGCATGTCCCCCTGCAGGCGGATTTTGGACGAAAAATGAAAACATCTCAAAGCAAATCAATTAAAAAAACATCGTCCCCAGGCTAATTTTTGACTATTTTTAATTTTTCTTCTGTAGAGGGTGCACGGTTTCCCCTGGGGCCGTGGGCGACCCGAGGAGGAGGAGGAGGAGGAGGAGGAGGAGGAGGAGGAGAAGGAGGAGGAGGAGGAGGTGGAAGAGGGGGAGGGCGAGGAGGAGATGGAGAAGGAGGAGGAGGAGGGATGAGGAGGAGTAGGACGGGTCGCCTCAGCCCTTCGGAGAAACCCTGCAGACATGCCCGACCTCATCGTACCAATCAATGGCACGAGGGGGCAATCGATAGTTCGGGTCGCTCAGCCGCCTGGGCCTGTGGGCCTCTTGCTGCCAACTCTCCAGCTCTCGTTATGATCGCCTCCTCCTCGGCCGCCTCACCCACGAGACCCCGCACATCCTCTCGTGAGGTGTCGAGCTCCACGGCGTCTGTTTTCCATGCCAGGCCGAGAGCGCCGACCGCCGCGAAGCTGACATCCCCCGGCGGGGCGCGCACCGCCACCCGTCTCGGGCGAGCCAGGCCGAGGGCGCCGGCCGCCACGAGGCGCCCTCCCCCCGGCGGGGCGCGCACCGCCGGCGCGTCTGCGGCGCACCGGCGACGAGTGCCGTCTCCGTCGTGGAGGGCTTCTCCGAAGGGCTCAGGCGACCCGTCCTCCTCCTCCTCCTCCTCCTCCTCCTCCTTTATCCTCCTCCTCCTCCTCCTCTTTATCTCCTCCTCCTCCTCCGCCTCCTCTATCTCCTCCTCCTCCTCCGCCTCCTTCTCCTCCTCCTCCTCCGCCTCCTCTATCTCCTCCTCCTCATCCTGCTCCTCCTCCTCCTCCTCCTCCTCCTCCTCCTGCTGCTCCTCCTCCTCCTCCTCCTTCTCGGGTCGCCTACCGCCCCGGGGGAAACCGTGCTCTCCGTAGATCTCCGACGCAGTGCTTATTCCATCCAAACCCAAACGTTATCGAGTCGCAACAAAAATCGGAGCGGCCATTTTTTCTCCATCTTCGGCCCCTGGGGGCCCTCGCCAGCCCCTGGGAGCGACAAAAAAACGACTCCGGACAAAAAGCCGGCCCTGGGGGAAGGGTCGGGACTTCCAGGGACGCCGCCCTGAAAAAAGCAGGACGTCGCACGCATGTCTGGGAAGGTTTTGCCTGGCCTTCGGCCCTCGGGGGCCGTTTCTGTGCCACGGCACCACCACTCAGGGCCGGCAAAGAGGGGGGTGTCCCAGAGGGGGGCGCGCAAATCATGGCTGGCGGCATATGTGCGGCCCGGGGGCGGGAGGGGGGGCCAGCGACGTATTGAAATAAGAAGAGGCGCCATGAAACCTGGGGAGATCCGCCGATCTGGCATGTGAACTAAAATAAGCGCGAGCTGGAGCTTCACTGGAGCTCCGCTCTGCAGGGGGGGGGTCAGCGCTTTCGCCCTTCCCGCCTCCGCTCTGCAGGGGGGGGGGGGTCAGCGCTTTCGCCCCTGCCTCCGCTTTGCAGGGGGAGGGGGGGGGTCAGCGCTTTCGCCCTCCACTCCGCTCTGCTAGGGTCGGCAGAGGGGGAGGGGAGTCAGCGTTTTCGCCTGCCCCGCCTCCGCTCTGCAGGAGGAGGAGGAGGGGGTCAGCGCTGTCGCCCCCGCCTCCGCTCTGCAGGGGGGGGATCAGTGCTTTCGCCCCCGCCTCCGCTCTGCAGGGTGTGGGGTCAGCGCTTTCGCCTCCGCCTCCGCTCTGCAGGGGGGGGGGGTTCAGCGCGTTCGCCCCCCCCCCCCGCTGCAGTGGGAGGGGTCGTTGGTCGTCGTCGTCGTCGTCGTCGTCGTCGTCGTCGTCGTCGTCGTCGTCGTCGTCGTCACTGGCCGGAGGCCACTACAACATCATCACCCCCCTCTGTGCCGCCCCCGAATCACACACGAGGCCCGGACGAGAGAACCACCCCTGCGGCCGCGGCCGAGGAGAAGGGTCGCATCGTCAGGTGCGTCTGGGCCGGGCGGGGTCCAAAAAAGGGCGGGGCCTTAAGGAGGTGCGCTCGCGGATCCTGGCAAGGGGCGCGCGCGCGCGCGGGCGCGCGGGGCCAGGGGACGAAACCGAAAGAGGGAGAGGGGGCCACGACATCCGAGATGTCGTGGGCCTGGCCATGATGGCCAGCCGCCCCTCGCCATCACCCTCCTCTCCGCCGCTCCCCGACTGGGCCGGCGAGAGACCGGGGTGCCGGCTCCTGGACTTGGGACGAGGCTTCGAGAACGACAAACAGATAGACAGAGATGGGGGGGCCAAAAAATATACACCACCACCACCTCCCTCCCCCCTCCCTCTCGCTGGACAGAGGAGAGGGGAGGAATCGACGTGGTGGTGGTGTATATTCTTTGGGTCCCCAAGAGACTGTGCACGTCAGAGGTGCGTTGGCAATACGGCGCAACGGGAATTCTTGGGTGGAGCCGAGAACGTGCCGCAGCACTTCTCAGTCAGGAGCCCTACGGATCTTGGAGCAGAACCTGAACGACCCCCGCACGAGTTCCCGTCGGGACCCGAAACGAAGGGAAAAGGGCAAGAAGGCAAAATCCCAATGTCAACATCCGCACGGTGGCATCACACCCGTTTCGGCACACCCCTGAGGCGCTTCGCGGCATAGGCAACTCCACTTAGGGCCCTGGTGGCACCGTCCACACGGTGGCGTCACACCCGTCTCGGCGCATCCCTCACGCGCTTCGTGGTCCCACAGGCAGCTCCACCCGTCATAGACAGCAGAAGATCCACCCCCATAGCAAGCACCCCGACAAGCGAAGCCGTCTAGTGAATGCACCAAAGGAATCGAACATGGCAGGGCTGTTCAGCGAACGCCCAGAGGCCGTTGAATTAGCGCCCAGGGCCGTTCAGTACACGCGGGGCCCCCGACGGGCCCCACGTGTGCCCGCAGGGGCCCGGCGCGGGCTACAGGCCGACGCTGTGCGGCCAGGGGCCGTGCCGGCGGACACGCGAGGCCGAGCGGCGCGAATCGCCTCGACTGGCTGTCGAGGTAGCTCGCACCGCCCCAAACACCAAACCCCCAAACCCCCAAATCGCGACGGCCACTGTTTCACTATTTGATCTTCTGGAGGCCCTCACTGGGCCTCGGGACCGTCAGAAAACGATTCGGGATGGAAAACCAGTCCAGGCGAATGGGTCGAGAACTCTGGGGGCCGACGTGCGTTCCGAAAAAAAAACGGACGGGGGTCTGGGGCCCCTGCGTGCGGCTAGCGGACGGAATCGGACGGGATCTATCTCAGGACAGCGATGCCCCGGCCGCGGCCTGTGTCCCAGGAGGCCTTCCTCCCCACGTCCTCCACCTCGTAGATCTCCTGCAGCCACTCGAGATGGTGAGAGGATGGGGAAGGACGAGAGGGAGATGCGAATGAGGACAATAATCACAAGTGGGGAGAAGGATCAGAGATATTACTCGGGGGAGAAGGATGAGGAGAAGAAAGGAGTATGGAGGATGACGAGGCTTGTGTATGTGTGAACGGCCGTCTTGGAACGGGGAAACAGAGAGAGTCCGGGCGGCGACGCGGCAGCGGGTCGATATTCCACCCGCTACTTTTCCTGAAACGCGCACTTGAGCCACACGGTTGCAAGCCCTTGAATACTGAGCATTCGCCCGGCAACGTGACTATACAATTGGAAACTCACTGAAATAACTCTGGGGACCTCTTAGGACATGGGTGAGGGGGATCTATAAGACAGCGCCCCCCACTTTAGTGTCCCAAGAGGTCTCATCTTGAAACTGGCCGAGAGGGCCCTAGCGGCGAAGCCCGCCCTCCCCACCTTCCCCCCGAACTCCCGACGGCCCCCCGGTCGGGTCGGAGGGCGCTGGGCTCGGATTTCCCTCCGCCTCCACGGGCTCTCGCCAAGTGGTCCTGGCGGCGCGCGGCCCTCCTCCTCCTGCCTCCTCGACCTCCTCCACCTCTGGGCTGGCTGCTGACACCTCGGATTCAAACTGCAAGGCTCTCCGAGACGCGTTGCGGGGTCGTGACTTCAACACTTGGTTGAGAGAGCGCTCGTCCAGGGAACCGGACTCGTCGATCAACGCCAGCATTCCTCGGTGCATCAGGTCGGTCAATGCGCAAAATTGGCTCGGCTTGGGTTGATCTTGGTCATACTATCTGCTGGCATCCTGAAATGAGGGGCCCAACGCGCGACAGTGCCCTCGGCCGTCATAGCGTCTCTGACGATCGCCATCTCGACGGCGTTGCGACGGTCTGCCCTGGCTCCACCACTGTTCTTCGACAACATGTCGAAGAGCGACTTCGCATCAACGACTGCGACGCCCTCGGAGGCCTTGGCGATGGCACACTCGTCTACCAGTGCCACGGCGAACGGGCAGGCCGCCCCTGAACTCCACCACTCAGGCCCCTGGACATCCCCATACAAAGCGTCCCGGAAAACGAGCCAGAGCCACTGTCCCTCGGCGAGAGCTGCGGAGAAGCTTATAACGTCTCCGCAGAGAGCGTGGACGGGACCACTCGACGAAGCCTCTGGCTTCTCCAAGACAGGAGGGGCACCCAGGAACGACGGTTGTCCGTTATCAGGAGTCCCCGAGCATCACCAGCCATCCTCCTTGAGCGCCGTCTTTCTTCGCGGACCCAGGACCCCCGGCGTCACTGCGCGCGACCATGGTCACGGCGCTCAAGTCCAATGGCGAGATCGTCAGACACGAGCACGCGGTGCTGCGTAGGTGGCGAGCGACTTCATTAGCCATCAGAGCAGAGGCCACGGTGACGCTCGGACATTCAGCACTCAACATCGAGGCGGATCCGGACACGTCGGGACTAGATTGGCGGGCCGCCCAAAGGATCTTGGCCACGAGCCCCGGTAGCCCCCGAGTTCCCGATCGTCCAGAAGGTCCCCGGGTGACTTAGCACGTTCCTTGTCGACTCGCATGGCCCTGACCTGCTCCAGTATATGTATATATATATATATATATATATAATTCTCCTGGTCGATCTGGATCCGCCCGTCGGACTGCTGCCTGACCCTCCCTCCAGCGCACTCAGCCTCGCCGATCTGCCATTTCCCGAATGAGAAACGCCCGGTCAGCAGCCTCTGGAGCTCACCCTCGAAGGACGGTTCGCTCGCGATGACGAGATCGTCAACTTCGATGACGACGAGGGCTTTTAAACTCCCCAAGGGGTGGTGAGAGACCCAGAGGCAGGGTCCCAAGAGGGACCGCCGAAAACCGATGGACTTCCGAAACGAGGTCAGCGCCTGATGCCACCTGATGGGAGTGTCGTTCAGTCCGTAGAATGGGGCCACCAGCTCCAGAAGGGCCCCCCGTGGGACGTCGACACCGTCGCACGGCTCGACGCATATCTTCCCATTCGGACGGGGGAGGGGATCTGCAGCTGGGCAAAACGCACTTCTACAGCCGGCTATCTGAAGTCTCCACCTCTTGCCAGCGATCAGCTGGAGAGCAACCAGCACGGCCACATCCTGGGGCGTTGGAGCGTAGACGCGGAGGAACTTCGCGTCCGGGTCGGCGCGCCCCCCAATGCACCAGCGTGACTTTGCCTTCGCGCTGGCCCACGCGCCTCCCTGCGGCTTCCACCAACGGACCATTCTCGAGGAGAGAATGCGGGAGGGGTCCTTCCTGCGAACGAGGGCCGCCTCCTCGGGGAGAACCGCCCTCGCGGCCTTGCTGGCCGTCATGGCCGACCACTCGGTGGCGTCTGACTTCTTGAGCCCCACCCACTCTCCTGGACTGAGCTTCTTCCAGATGACCGCCTGGCCGCGCCGGGGCCCCTCCGAGCCTGGTCCGGCCGCGGCGAACGAGGGGGGGGACTCGAAGCTCGATCCCCGGGCTTCCAGCTCGCGAAGCAGGCTCTGGCCCTGGTCATCGGCTCCTCCGGCCTCCCCGAGCTCCACCCAGACGCAGTCGGCGCCTCCCTCTTCTTCCAGAACGGCGGCAGCTAATCCTTCGGACCCGCGACCGAGGCCATCGCCGGACTGGGCCCCCGCGACGCCGGATCCACCCTTCGATCTGAGTATCCTTCTGAATCTCCCATCCCCGAACTCGCCCCAGCACGGAGGCCTGCGGCATGTCTTCTAAAATGGCCCCGGGGACCGCCACGCGGGTCAGAAACCCGCGGACGGGAAAGCCCGCCCGTCGGATGCGTCGGAACGTGGAGCTGCTGGCTGGTCGAGGGATTGCCAGCGGAGATCTCTCCCGTTCGCCTTCTGCGATGCTCGAAAGGCCGGGCGGGGTCGACAAAGCCTCCGGCTCTCTGGCTGCGCAGGCAGCCTTGACTGAAGCGATTGCGGGGGGAGGGCCCGAGGGCGCGCTGCCCTCCCTGCCCGCGCGAGGACGGGATCGAGGAGGCTCGGGCAGGCCAGGGGAGGGTGCAATCTTTCCTCCTTGTCAGCGGACTCGGATTGGTTCTCTGACGGCTTCAATTCCAGAGCACCCCCTGGGCCCTCGACCTCACTACCTTCGGGTATCGACGGGGAAGGGGAGGTGGCTTCCATCCGATCTTCCACTGGCTCGAAGGGGCGAGCCACCGACCCTCCGCCTTCCCCGCCGGGCATGGGAGCGCCTCCCGGGCCCTGGGCTGAACGATCCTGGTCGCCCCAGGCTTCGTCGGGAGGAGGCCCCTCGGATTCCACGTTCCACTCGGCGCTGCCCTTATGATCAACGACGGCCCTGGGGCCGACCCATCGGTCGCGCTGAAGCGCGCGTGTCTTCGCGCCGACCACCGCCCTCCACGCGTAAATCCACTGCCCTGGAACGAAGGCGCGGCCAGCAAGGGGTCGAGATCTCTGGGCTTCGGCCAGACGCGACTTCGCATCGGCACACATCAGGGCCACCTTGGCTTGCTCGCAGATTTGATGTTTCCGAGCAAACGCGCTGGCGACGCTGTCCTGGCCTGCCGCGCCTCCCTGGACATCCTCAACACCTATGTCATAGACCCCTCGTCGCAAAGTAGAAAGCGGGGGAGGCGAGGGTTCTCGTCGAAAACTTACTGATACGGAGAGTATCCAGACCTGTGGTAGCATCTCTTCTTGGCTGACACGGCCTCGTGAAGGATGAGTTCCACCTCGGCGTGGGCGCAGGGCTGGACGCGATCGGCCCCCTTGGCCAGTGCACTCTTGACCCGGCCCCCGCGGCGCTCGACCCTGCCGTTCTGCCGCGGCGACGTGGCGTCACAAATGTGCTGGAAAATGCATGCATGCTCGCGCACACTGCCGAAAGCGCCAAGAAATTCTGACCCGCCGTCTGACGCGACGACCGCGGGGGCCTCGGGGGGACCGAAGATGCGAACCCAGCTCTTATCGAAAGCAGTCCAGGCGTTCCGGGACGCGAGCGGCTCCCCGGACCGAAAAGATGCCACAACTGGAAACTGGACCCATGATGGAGCATGATCAATATGGTCATCTTGGTGCCAAGAACCGCGATAAACAGACAGTCAACCGCAAATAGACGGTCAAAACGGCACGCACGAGGGACTGCCGCCCGACGCCTCCAAGACGGCCCGGAGCGGCTGTCGCATTGCTCGCATCGGAACTCATGTTACACATGCTCGATCACCTCAGGACTCGCCTGCGCAACCAGTAACATCTTCAGAAATGCGCCCCTCGACGGATCCCTAAATGGACGCGAGCCCGAGCTATCTCCAAGCGCATACTCCGACTGATTGACCCAGCCTGCCTCCCCGCTCTGCTTCCCTCCCTGTCGCTATCCCCGGGCCCTCGTCCGAGCCCGAGTCCCCGGCGGCGGGGAGAGACGCAGTCCGAGGGTTGCCCGTCAGACCTTCGTCTGGCTGCTCGGGGGCCCCCCAGAGGTCAGGGGTCTCCTCTCGATGTCCGGGGGCAGCTCTCTGGGCTGACTCCAAGATCCCTGCGCGCATGGCCTGGGCCGGGCCTGGAGGGTAAACCTGGGCCGCGCTTGCGAGAGTCTTACCACGCAATTGTCTGTGCACGTGGCTGCCGTCGCACCGTCTGAGAAGTTGCTGCAAAATCGGCGCTCGATTCGTGATAAACCGGGCGGGCTTCTCGTTAGGCCCCCCCCCGCACGGCCAGGCCGTACTGACACAGGTCGGCGACTCTAGTCTGGATCCCAGGGCGACTCAGGATTTCTCGACCCGAATCTAACTCCCACGAGCACGCCCCCTCCGGGTGCTCTAGCAGAATAAACCCTCCACCTCCCCTCATCTGATATTCTGCGACTCGCATGCACAGGGCCATGGACTGGATACCTGCCTCCTCGGGACCGGTCAGGTCGGCCCTATTCAACCGACGCCAGCTGGGTCTCCGAGCAATCGAGAAGGCAAGACATTCGGGGCTCATGATTCTCACTTCTGACCGATCC